CCGCTGATGGGGTCGCCCGTAGCCCGTGGCGGGACCCAGAAAGGCCCCGCGGGCCATGGACTGGTCCCGGTTTCCACGGCACGTCATCACCGGGACTTTCCCTTGGGGTGTCTGGGGCTAGAAGACAACAGGGTCCCCGAGACAGCATTCAGGCGTGGGGCCGCCTCTCCGTGCGCCCGCACCCTCGCAGAGCTGCGCCCCGGCCGGCCCCAGCCGAGGGCAGAGCAGACGGAGGCCCGTGCCCGGTCCAGGGGCGCAGGGCGGCCAGCGCGGGCCGGGGCCGGGCGTCCACGCTGACAGCACCCAGGCCTGCAGCCACCGTCCAGAGAGGACGACCAGCCGCTCCTCAGGGAGGGACAGGGACGCCGGGAGAGTGACATGACGGGGGTGGCGGGAGCGCACGACCGGAGGGCGGGGTGGGCGGACGCCAGAGGCAGGGCCAGGGGACCCCCCACGCCCACCGCCTGGGGGACCGGCCGCTACCAGCGCCTCTTGCGGGGAGACACAGGAGGGGGGGACTGTGCACCCCACTGGGCCACCCGGAGACCCCGGGGAGACGGGGGCGGGTGGTGTCTCTGCGAGGGCGGCGGCCAGACACCAGGAAGGGGGTTTCAGACCAGCTAAAAATAGGCCGGGCTCGAAGTCACCGGGGAGCGCGGGGGGCAGGAAGGAAGGGGCCGGGCGCGGTGGGCGGAGGTGCGAGGGCCGCCCTGCCACACGCACACCTGAGCGCGGCCCTGCGGCACCCCTGGAGCGGCGCCCAGCCGCCGTGAGCGCTTCCGGCGCTTCCCCCTGCCTTCTGCGTCGGAAAAGACCGACACTTAAGCGGAACCGAAACTGGGGCCTCCCTGGTGCTGCAGGGTGAGTGTCGGCGCCGGGGAGCGTGGCGGGGGCCACGGGCCAGCACACCCACGCAGCCCCCCCCACAGCTACATAGGCCACGGGCACCCCCACCCCCACCCCACACACTGTCTCGCTGCAGAGTTTCCGCTCGTGCCGTGAACAGACGGCACACGCGCAGGCCGGCGAGGACGCAGTGGACGAGGTCGGCCACCAGGTGCTCGGCGTGAGCTGCACAGCGACCGGCCTTCGCCAGCCCGCAAGGGACAGGCGAGACGCTTGGACAAGCAGCCACGGCCGCGGCCACGGTCGCCGTCTCGGCGCCGGCCTGGGCAGCTGCCCAAGGTGAGTGGCCACCCGGCGCGGGCGGCGGCTCCCCAGGGGTCCGCGTGGAGGGAGGGGCGGTGTCAGGAGGGAGCCGATGCCCCCCGAGGCCGCGCGACGCCCTGTGATCCCCAGGGGCTACAGTGCCACTGACGGGTCGCTTTGCTGACGAGCGCCGGGCAGAGAGCCGGGCAGAGAGCCGGGCAGAGAGCCGGGCACACGTCCTTCCCGGCGGGCACCTGGGGCCGCGTGAGGCGCCGGGCTTGCGGGAGTTGTCAAGGGCAAGGGACGGGACAAGGTTCTCGTGCTGCTGGGGGCAGGAAGCCACCGCGGCCCGCGCGTTCCGGCGGCTACCGCCGCCACTGTCCCGCCACCGCACTCGCACAGGGCCCAGCCAGCGGCCGTCAGGCGCACCGGGGGCTCCTGGGGCGGCCGGAGCCTCTGGACCCCCACACCTGCGCTCTTACCTCACGGCCTCGTGCAGCGAGCTGCTACCTTGGGTGGTCGAGGCGCAGTGGCATCGAGGACGGGCAGCGGGGATTCTGTCCCACAGAGGCCGCCGCCCCCAGCAGCCGGGGCCGAGAGCTCAGGCCAGGGCCACCCGCCCGGGGCAGCGCGCGCTCGAGGCTGAGGCGCCTCCAGCCCGACTCGGCCCCTGCGGCCGCCTCTGCCGCCCACCATGGGGCTGTGCAACAAGCAGGAGGAGGCTGTCTTGTTTCGTTTTGTGTCTGGGACGCGCAAGTACCCAAAATTCGGTACTACGAAACCTTAACTGATTATTCACTTCCAAAGATCTGGGATCTTGCACGTAAGCTGCAGTCACGAGAGCCAGCTCACGCACCGGCGCTCGGCCCGCCGCCCCGCCACAGCTTCCGGGCCTGTCCCGGGCCTGCCCAGCTCCCCCCAGACCCGCAGCCCTGAGTGTCTTCACTGTCGCCGCCAGGCGCGCCGCAGGACATCACTGACCTTTCCAGAAACTGGCCCGTCGGCTTCCTCCGCGTCCCGGTGGCCCGACGGCGCCTTCCTGCGTGGTGCAGAGGAGCCCGGCACTGGGAGTCGGCCCACCTGCCCCGCAGCGCGTGCTCAGCAGCGCCGGTCACCTCCCAAGCAGGCGGCGGTGGCCATTCGGTCGCATGATGCCCCGGGAGCGGGCTGACGTCAACACGGCCAGCTCCGCAGCCACCTGCAGGAGACAGCTGACCGTCCCTCAGGGCCCGGCTAGCTGGGCGGCTCCCGCTGGGGCTCCCGGTGAAGACGGCGCTCTCTGTGCTTCTGGAGGTGGTGAGCCGCCCCCACGCTTCCTCTCAATCAAGATAAAGTGACCAAGAAAATGTGTGAGAAATGCGATCACAATGGATTCGTGCGATCTGGGGTCTGTCTGGCCTTCCTGATGTTCACTGTATTTCTGCAGCGCGCAGGTTTATAGACTCAATAAAATCTGGGAAGTGTCCCGCTCCACTTCTCTGCAGACACTTCCGACAGCCTCGCCCCCACCCTCCTGGGCCTGGTCCCGCGCTCCGCCGCTGAGGTGGCGTCTGCTCTCCCACGCTGTCTTCGGCTGCCCCACCGCGGTCTCTGTGGCAGTGTCCAGAGGCCCCACTCCCTACCTCTCGGGGGGAAGAGTCAGAGTCCAGGACGTGACAGCTGCCGGGTGGTGAGATCGGCTCCGACACGCTCCTCCCCTGTGAATCCATGAAGAGGCTCAAGGCTACATGTAGGGCAGACAGAGGAGAAGGCAACTTTATATTCTAAAGGAAACCGGGCCGTGGTTTTGCTTCTGCTAGAGAGAAAAACCCGTGCAGCGTGACGGCCTTTGGGTGGAAGGTCTGTGCGGCCTTCCGCCATGTCGGCCGGTAACGGTGGAAGAAAAACAAGAGTTGTAGTTTGTTTCTGAGTCTCTTGCCCAGAACTATGGAGGAGAACTGCAATTGTCATTTGCTTCAGTAATTGAGTTTTTCATTTTACATCATTAGAAGAATGCATTTTGCTGTCTTCAAATACAGGAATCGTAATAACATTTGAACTTGTTTTTGCAGGAAAGTTTCATAATCTCATTTCATAAGTATTGGCAGTCCTCACAAACCTGAGGCATCGGAGCTATTGTCAATTAAATTAGTCTGAACTGAAAAATGGAATATCCTGGAGAAAAATATCTCCAAGTCACGAAAATATCACCTGTCATCTTTTTACATTTGCAAATGCAGTTACTGAAACGTTTCTTAATCTCTGGCTCCTAGTGTACCTCTTGCATCGTGCCACAGTAGAGAAAGCAACAATTTCCTGTCAGTAAAGAAGCCAATATTCGGAAAACCAACGCGTTTGAAGCTTGCCAACACACTGGCTGCAGAGCATTCGGGAAGCCAGGTCAGGTGAAGATGAAGAATGAGACTTCAGGGAAGGGACCTTCACGCCACCGCCGCTGCGTGTTCGGCTTTAACAGAGTGTCACTTAGTGACACTCTCCTTAGCGTGCGACGGGAAGCCATGACGAACGGCGGCATAAGTTAGGGCGGCCCAAGCCCCTGGGGAAGCAGCAGCAGGAAGAGGTGACAGCATAGGGCCGGGCGGCAGCAGGCCTCGCGGCGTCAGGTCCGTCGCACCCCGGCGCGAGCGCCCAGCAGCAGCCCTCGCCCAGCTCGCTGAGGAGTGGCGCCGTGCGCACCGACAGAGCTGGGCTCTCCGCCCACAGACGGCCACGGGCACACGGAAACGCCAAGGTCCCTCGGGCCGTGTGTGTTTCCAGAGCCGCGGGAACATGTTCCGCGACGACTGAGATTCTCCTGCGACGGCGTGACTGATTTTGGTGCCAGAGGTGTGAGCAGCTGGGCTGTGAACCGCTGGAGCCTGGCGGGACACGCCTGCCTGCCTGCACGGAGCCGGCCTTCCCGGCCTTGACCCCCGTGGCGCCGCTTTTAAGAACAGAGTTCTTCGCTTCTCCAGCAGTTCAGAGATGTGTAACACCTCATCTGAGCTCCAAATGTCACTGGAAATACCGGCGTCCCTTCCACGGGCCGGAGAAGAAAAGGTTCCCGTTGCATTTAAAACTAAAGAGCAAACGCACACAAAGTTGTTTATGATTCCATTTGAAACAAAACTCAGTGGTGCAGTCGTAGTCGCTTAACACGTCTGTTCTCAGGTTTACGATGAGAAAAACAAAGCCCCGCTGAGCCACACCGCAGGCAGACAGGGCTGCGGCAGGAGCAGGGCCCGGAGGCCCGCAGGCAGTGGCCGCACAACTCACGGGGCCTCAGGGCTCCTGCACCCATGCCCCTCGGTGGCCCAGGAAGGAGAGCTGAACAGTCAAGCTAAGTTGGCTTACCGCGTAACCGAGTTAGGAACCGCTTTACACAGCGAAGCCCATGCAGTTCACTGACGTGCTCCACGGTCACTCGCGACTTGTTGAACTCAGCTCCTAGTTCGCATGAAAAGAGACAGAAGATTTTGTATCTCCACGTGATGACGGTGTCAGCTGCAGCGGCTGTGGCAATCACGTCACAGTCCACGGAAACCACGTGGCCACACTGACGGAGCTGTGTGTCAGCTACTCCTCGAGGGGGCGGAACAAACAGGGAAAGTTACTGAGGGCCCCTGGAGGCTGGCGTGTGTCAGCGGACCTCTGCTCTCGGGCGTCCATCCACCAGGGCACGATCGCAAATAACCCTTCGTTGTTAGTTACCAGAGGGCCCAGCAAGCCAGTTCTCTCAGCACCCAGGTCTCCTAGACAAGATCGCTAGAGCAGTGGCAGTTTCTCCCAGGATAAGAGAAGGTCTGTTCTGCCCTCCAGTCTTACAATCTTCTGCAATGGTCGCTTTTAGGTAAGCGAGATATTTACCCGGGAACCAGGAAAATGAAAAGTACGTGTGTAAGCAAATGACGTCCTGGTGACGCTGAACAGGTGTGGCCTGAACGTTCCCTGGCCTCCTCGGCAACAGCCAGCGGGCACTGCCGTATCCGTGCCCCTCGGGGCGGCGCTGACCAGCTGCTGGTGAAGAGCGCGCCGTGCGCTGCGCACAGCCCAGGCATTTTTCACTTATTTGCTCATTTCACCTCCGTGAGATTCTGGGGTTAGCAGTGTTGTTTTGTTTTTCAAATAAGGAACTGGATGGAGGGAGTAATCACATTGTCCAAGGTCAAAATGTTAGTAAGTGACAGTCAGGAAAATTCCATGACCGAGCTTTCTCATTGAATTATCTTGATGTCTGTTTCACAAACAGTTTCTCTTAGCGCACACCCCGGGGCACAGTCATGGTCAAGCCTAGCTACGGGATGCTTTCTAACAGCTGCAGATTTTCTCCCTGAGATGTAAATGCATGGTGATATTGCCTTGCCGTATGACTGAGCTGAAAGTACCTTAGCGACTTTTTCAGAATAACCTGGACATTATAAAACTCGTGCCAGTACAAAAGCGAACATTTTAAAGACGTATGCTGAATCGCAGCCATATTCAGAGGCCCCGGGGGGGTCCCTGCCCCCTGTAAGGCGCAGATCGGTGCGGGCCGATCGCCTGGCACACGCGCAGGCCCTGGGATCCGTGCATCTGTAGCCGTGCACCCGACAGCTCTTCTCGCGAGGGCGCATCAGCTAAGACTGGACGTCTTGGGCGTGGCCGGACACCAGAACAGGCCTCCCAGGTTCGTGACAAAGGACGGCGCTGAGAGTCGCACAAGCTCATGAGAGGCGAGAGCCGCGTGTGGAGAGTCTCGTAAGAGCAGGAGCCAAACTCTGCACACACACGTTTGCAAACCTAAACTGACATTTTAAATGCAGCTGGGAGAGACTGAGAGAACTGGGATCACAGCCAGATACAGTCAGAAGGCGGAGCTCGGAGGCGACACCTGCGGCTGACCTTCTGGCCTTGACGTGAAAGATACGGCTTGCACTCTTAGTCCAACTAAGATATCTGCCGGCTACCCCAGACACTCTTCCGAAGAAGATAACAAATTCCATTATCTCTACAGCACATGATGCTCATTCCTAGACGGTAAGAAGTGGTTTCCAGGTGAATGTGGAAAAAAATAGAAAAACAACACATAATCCGAGCGGGCTGCGCTTTCAGGCGCTCCACACCGGTGGGAGACAGACAGAAAGCAGATCCTTGGCCCAGGAGCAACAGAAATAAAGCACAGTAAAATCCCTCCAAATATATTTATCGAGGAAGACGGAAATTACGCGCAGTGCACTGAGGAGCTACAGCAGGGCGTGAGTTAACCCTCCCTGCACGCGGGAAACCTGCCGTCACAGACATGCAAGACTGGTAAGCAAAGCTCTGCATCTGAGTAAGTCAAGACTAGCTTTTCTGACGCTCATAAATGAATATACGTGACCCTCAAAAGATCCTGGCGGGGGACTGTGGTGGAGGATTGCTGGGCTCGGGCCGTGGGCGTGGCGTGTGCGCGTGGAGATGGGCGCCGGTACCCCTAAATTAAAGTGATGCTACGCGTGATGCAGCCTCAAGAAACAGGGCTTTTAAAAAGTCTTAAGAAGCGGTCGTGAGGGAGAACTTGCCCTACCAGACTGTAAAATACCCTGAGAAACTATGACTTCAAGTGAACAGCGAGTTAGAGTAAGATCAAGCCTATGAACAGTGGCCTGGATCGGAACACGTGGAATGTAAACACGTCTAAACAGGGCTCGTCAGACGACTGAGGAGCTGCATGGCTCCGTATCAGCCCTGACAGTGAGTCACGGCGGAAGGCGAAGGCCCGTGGCTGCCGGGGGCCACGAGCGGCCTCCCCGGTGGCTGACGCTCTCCCCGGCCCCCAGCTCCATTATTAGTCGGGGGACGAAGTCAAAATTCAGAGGGTGTGTTTTTTCCAAAGCCATGGAGCTGGTAAAAATTGTTAAATTAATGCCAAGGGGATATAACTTGGCCAAGAGTCTTGGAGAGCAACTTGGAAAATACCCAGAGCGTCAGAGATACGCACAGCTCGCCGCCGCCCCCGGCGCAGAGACACCGAGCAGAGGTGCCCCAGGGGGCAGGTTTGCGGACGCTGACTGCACGGTGGAACTGGGGGGCAGTGAGGTGCCGGGCTGAAGACGGCTTGCAGACAGCCGCGTGGCTGAAGCCACAGAGACCGCCGGGCTCCCCGCGCCTGTCAGAGTGCAGAATCCCAGCGGCCGGCGTGGAGTGGGGGAGAGGAGATGGGACAAGCGAGGCGAAGGCGACCCCCAAGGACCGTGGCTTGCGTGGGAGGGTGTCCTTTGAAATGGGGAGGGTGGGCTGGCACCCCCCCCGTCCTGAGGCACCGGCCGCCGCCACAGAGGAGCAGAGGGAGCAGGGCTGGGGCCCGGGCCCCAGTCACGCGGAAGCCGACAGGAGAGACACCGGCGTAGGCCTCTGGCCATGTGGCTGGTATGAGTCCAGCGCTGTCCGGATGTTCCAGACGTGACGTGGTAAATCGCCCACTTGAACTCGCAGTCGAGCCACTTCAGCTTGGGCAGGCTGTCAGGCCGGGGGCCGCCTCCCTCCGCGCCACCGCCCCGCCCCTGCGCCCGAGATGGGCCGTGACCCCCAGGGGG